CAGCTACTTCGAGGTGAGTTACCTTCCAGTAGTGGTGGGTCTACGGCCACAATGCCAGCCCACCAGTAGGAGTTGTGTTATATGATTGTCTTTGTGATATCATCTAGTTTTGCTACTACCTGATATGTTATATGCTAGCTTAATGTGTTATAGTAGTAGGGTTCGATTGTTAGGACCGAAGGGTAGTCAGACACCCCAGATACGTCTGATAGTATGTTATGTTACAATAGGTGATAGTAGTAGAGGTAGGGGTGAAACAGTCTCCGAGGTTCGGTTGTTAGGACCGAAGGGTGGTCGGTAACCCAGAATGGTCGCACGGGTAGGTCAGCACTCCAGAATGGTCGTACTAGGTAGGTCGGGCACCTCAGAAATGTCTGACAAGTATGGTATGTTATATGATTGTGTTGTATGATATATGATTATACGGTATGTGGTATGTTGGGGGAACTCACTAGGCTTTGTGTTTACAATTTTCAGTTTGGTTTCAAGTACCTCTTCTTCAAAGGGGAAGGAGCTGGCGCGGTAGCGATACATCATACACATACACTATTTTCCACCTTGCGAGATTGTTCTGGGATTTGTACTCTGATATTCAGTTGATTTCGTATTTTTGTTTTTCAAACATGATATATGATTGTGGAATGTTTTGATCAGACAATGTTTATTTGCAAATGCCTTTTAAAGTATTGATTTTAAAATTGAAAATTTTGGACGTGAAAATATGGCTGTTACATAGATTCAACAATAGAAAACCCCATGTTCGTATTTAGGGTTCTAAGTTCTAACCATTCCATATTGCATCGATGTGGGTTTGGGTTTGCTTCTTCGACTTTTAACGGATCCATGGAAGAATAGAGAGAAGACCCAGATCGGGGACAGAGAGAGAGAGAGAGAGAGAGAGAGAGAGACCCTTTTATATTAAATATTTTTTATTTTTTTTTTAAATAAGACAACTTTATTAACGGTCCATGTGATAGTGAAATGATGAAAATACATTTAAGTTAACAAACAAAAGTTAACGGAGTGAACAATAAGGACCAAACAACAGAAGTTTTGAAACTACAAAGACCATCTGAGAGGTTTTTTGAACTTAAAGACTAAACTTCAAATTTCGAGATACCATAAGGACCATTTAAGAAGTTTTTTCTTGAAACAATAATGATATAATTGCATAATGGTCTTAATATGAAAAGCAAATAAAGAAAAGCATAAGCATTGTTAAATTTTAGAATACTATATTATAAATATGTTAAATTTCAATGCACAATTTCCATAGTTAAAGAAATAAAATCTTAATATGATTATTAAAACGACAAATTCTTAGTAAGGCTAGACAGTGAAACTATAATGTAATTTAATATGTAAATACTACAACCGAATAGATTTCAAAAATATAATCTCTTAATAGGAAAAAGACTGAATGTATAATGTTACAATTGGAATTGGTGACCATGATTAAACAATTTTAGATTTTAAATGTAGAATGCATGAAAACTACAACATCTTAATATGTTAAGTTTTGAAAATAGAATGTAACAAATTGGAGTGTAATGTTTCAATTGGTTAAATTATTTGCAGTTATAATGCTATAATTGATAACCAAAATCAAACATGTTTAGTTTTTGCAAGTACAATGACTTAGCATCTAAATAGCATTCAGTTAGACCTATGAGGCAATATGGAAAGGATTTTTTTACTATTACCCCGTTAGAGATTTTATTTTGCATTTATATTCAGTAGTCAACAAAGTATAGTTTGGGATAGTGTGTCCCTAACACCTCCCATAACCTTAATGTTTTATTGAATTCGAAACCATGAGTTCAATTTTTAATAATGCCACTGTAGATTTCATGCTTCAGGTTAATCAACAAAATACATGTTTTTATTGTCAATAATTGTATATAACTCTAGTAAGCTGATTTATAGGCTAGAAACTAGAAATCTATAATTTAGGCTGATAATTAGCTTGTGATTCATTTTTCAATCATAATGATATAGCAGAGAGATCAGAAATAAAAAAAATTTGTTTACATAAAACGTGGACCTAATCTTTCCATAAAAAAATTGTTTATTACAAATGTTAAAAAAATATATTATGTATAATAAAAAAACACAAATAAATTAACAATCAAATTTAGTCTTGTTGCAAGGTTCGTCCGTGGCAATAACAATGTTAAAAAGTTGTTTAACAAAAAGTTTCAAATAAAATGACTTTTTTGCCCTTATCTTCATCTTCTCAATCTCCTTTGTCTTAAATCATATTTTTTTTATTTAGTTTAATTTTTGGAGTTTAAGACGGAGATTGAGGAATTTTAGGTACATAGGATGATGAAGGATAAAAAGACGGGGACAAAATAGTCATATTTCACTGACATTTTGCAACAAAACTATACTAAAAAAATATCTAGATGAAAGCCATAACTTTTGAAATATCACAAGGACAAATTCGTAATTTACTCTATAAATAATAACTAGATTATGACCCGCGTTAAACACGGGGGAGCATATAAAAGAATACATATAGCAATATATTTCCATTTATGGGATTAGTTTGAGATCTGAAAAAAATGTTTCAAAATGAGCATAGTATGAATAACTTAAAGTGACAAAAGTAACTGACAAACATAGATGCCAACGCAAAAATATATCAGTTTATTTGCAATACATGTACAAATTATGAATAACTTAAAAGTACAAAAGCAATTGACAAACATAGATGCCAGAGCTTATGAGTACGAACACAGAGATTCCTGAGTTTACTTGTTGGAGTAATGCCTTTGACCAACTCCATGTTGGTTTACCTGATTAGACTTTGACAAATTTGATTCACATGGGCCACCTTATTGCTACGCATGTCAAATATTTAATTCATGTTTAGGCATTATGATATAAAATAAAGAAAATTACTTGAAATGATCAATAGATTCATGTTAGTAATCTATCCTTTAAATAGTTAGCATTGTACTTTGGTGTTTAAGCATATCATTTCCAAATAGAAATATATCAGCAATTTTGGAAACATAATGTACCTTTCAATATCGTTGTATAATTTGAAGTAAAAGTAGATTAATATTTTGGACCTATCAGGACCAGCACATGACTTTATATCTACACTTGAAACGAACCAAACGTGGCATGAACTACATGACCGGATCTGAAATACCAATGTACATATTGGAGGAAATGAAAGTTCATTGTTATTATCTCAAATTGTTGGAGCCTTTCAGGTAAAAAATGAAGTGCATTTCTGAAAAAGTAAACATGTTGTTACAAAATTGTAAAGTTAATTAAAATATTCAAATTTTAATTCAAGACTAGAAAAAAATTCTGGAAAATCAAATTCTAGAATAGTCATATATAACAATGAAGGAGACATGACCTAAACAAAGTTGGAATATCAGTCGATATCCATTTCCTATTTTGCTATTTTGGTCCAAAAGTACAGTCATTTCGTAAAATTTTATTGGTAATTTAACTTTTATATCATTATTTTAGTGCCCTAAGGGGAAAAGTAGTCAAATTTACATGAAAAGAACTGAAAGCACCATAATCTAACTGGAAAAAATGAAATTAGAATGCTATACACAAAAAACATAAGCATGGTGTTATTCTGTGCACGTAATTCAAACGATGCTTTGACCATTTATAACATTTAATACATTAATTATTATTATATTAGAGATGAATGATGCCACACAATTATTTTGTCTGTGAGCTTTTTATCAATGCCAGAGATTATTAGTAACCTAATTCATAGCAACAAAGAATATCTATTTTCTTGATCGAGATGTTCTTCATATGACAGTTGAGTTATTCGGTAGAAATATTTTGTTAGTGCAGACTTAACAACTTCTTTCAGCTTTGTTCCTACATCATTCAATAAAATTATGAAAATAAACTAAAATATAAAGATCAAAACAAGTAAGTTAAAAATTACTTTTGTGGCATTAGTTACTTGAAGATGAGAAGAAACATCTGTAAGTGAGGCATTTTACCAAACAATTGGTGGGCATATCACTTTAAAAATGTGTCTTTTAAACTTTTCCTTGTCCCTTAATGACATTTTCACATCACAAACAATGGTTTAGTCAAGTTCGATAAAAATTAACGAATTAAATAGAAATCAAAATGAAAAATAGAAAAACAAACCTCAGACTAAAGGCGGTGACCATGTTAATAATAGTCTTGATTTTTGTCACAACCTTATGGTATCCACAGGTAGCCATGGATAATACCTCCACTTACTCTTTGAAACGAACAACAAAAAAAATAAAAAATAAAAAACAATTTTTTGAGCACTTAAAGAGTAATTTAAAATACCTGTTTGTTCAAAATAACTTTAGAATTGCAATTGCAGGTTTGCAAACTCTGTCACGATTTAAACAGAAACTCCAAATCATGCACTAAAATAAAAAAAAACTGCTTATTAATGTTGAGAGTAGGTTGCTATTTTAAGCTGCAAATGTGGGAAGCCTTAATTAACTTTTACTCATAATAACAACCTATTTTGAAAGTAGGTTGCTGTTAAATGTAATAAGTAAGTAGGATTTGTTTATCGATAATGTGATGTAGCATGTATGATTGAAAACAAGTGGTCATTAAAGAAATGGTCCCTTATAAAAATACTACACGGACAACCCTTGTCAAAAATATTACACGATTGATCAAATTACCAATTATATCCTTCCTAAATAGAAAAAGAAAGAAAAAAGTAAGTTGTCATTAACTTTCATATATCAAAAGTATGTTGTTATGTAGTAATCATTAAAATAACCTTTTTTCTGTGAATGGGCTATACATGTGTGCTTTTAAGTTTCTTCACTGTCATTTTTAATGCTTTTTGATGTAACCGACAACCAAATCCAACATGTATGTTGTGTTCCTTCGCCACAAATATCATATTCAAAGATTCTTAGTAGATATTATTTAAGAAGGATAACTGATAAAAAACAATGATCTTACCTTGGCTATATTCATGAAAAGTTACAATACAAAGATTCTCACTTATGTGTGCTCGCCTTACCTATAAAAGAATAAAAATGGCAGTTTTTTTTATCATCTTCATGACAAGTTACAATACAAATAGCTACGGATGCTTACCCTTTCTATTGCTTCGTGGATGGGTGACACAACCCCTTAGCCTTCTCCTTAAAGTCATTTTGTCTTTGGAACTATAGTAAGTAACATAGAAGAACCCGTTGACAAACTCAGCTGATGACTCAAACCAGTTGAAGCATGTTTTCTTCCTTCTTCTTTCGTGTCCCTAAAATAGAGAATAATAAATAATTAATGAGAGTAAGTTTCTACTTCTTGCAATCAACCCAAACTAAATGCAAGAAATAGAAACTTAATTCCATTCATTAGTTGGGGACCATCTGCTCGTTTCTCTAGAGAACCAAACATAAAAAGCTCTTACTTGATGATTGAATATTCGAAGAAGGCAGTGCTTGTTTACAGGATTGAGGGTGTATGAGATGTGAACCTCTGTACATAAAATCAAAATTTTAGAGGTTAGGATTCAAAAAAAAAAAAAAAAAAAAAGATAGTGGAATGTTATCTCGCAGTAACCAAGACCAAAGTTGTAGAACAAGTAAGTCAACAATATATCATTACCTTAAAAACAAAAATAAAATACTAAATTTAAGTGATTTTAAATGTATGGTTATTTTCATACCACATTTTTCTAGGTAAAACCCTTCATTTCTCTCATTTTTGTAAATACACTGCACCATGAAATTGCAATTAATACGATTGTGGGTGATAGAAGTTGGAGGGCAAAATAGTCATTTACCTTCCATTAGTTTTTAATACTCATGTACTTGGATGTTTTAACTTAAGACAATAATATACTGCCTGGCTGTGTATGTTGAATGGTATGAATAAGATCCCACCAAAATGCCCAAACCTCGATTTACATGTCTCCAACAGATTTAGCTAAAATTAGCCAAAAGGGTAAATGCGTAAATTTGGCCAAAATATAAAAAACTCTTTTCGCAAGTGTTCCCATAGAATATTCTGTTTTTTTAAAAAGCATCAGGATCCTTGACTCGGCCTTCCTAATCCAAAAAGCTTGACCACTACATAACCAGAAATAGCATTAAATAATTTATTTTTCTATTAACTTTATAACAGAAAAGCAACGTACTTTACTCTTTTTTTTCTTCACCCATAATAGCAGGCAGCATACTTATATTGTTTATCCATAATACCAAAATACTTAATTTCTTTACTGATAAAAGCAAAAGCAAAAGCAATAAATATACTTTGTTCTTTATCCATAATGAAATACTTATATTGTCTATAACAACACCTCCCATAACCTTAATGTTTTATTCAATTTGAATACCCTGAAACCATGTGATAGTTTTTAACTAGTATTGTAGGTGGTGAGGGTACAAGAGTAAATTTACTTGCCTTTTGAATGGGATTGAAATCCAGCCAAGAAAGAGAAAGTAAATCAAGCAATCATTTTGTTTGAAGTAGTTGTGTAATGGGCTGTTTAGTTTAGTAGTTCCATATCGAAAAATTAGTAGACATGTTAGAAACTGCATCTAAGAAATGGAATCACGGATTCCAGCATTTGGATGGAATTCAATTCTATTGAATTTTGTGAAATTCAATGTTTGATAATCGCATCTAAGAATTGGAATTCGAGATTCCATTCAACGGTGCATTTGGTTGAAAATTTTAATGGAATTCCTTTGAATTTCATATTTGATGGACTTCAACCATTCGTAGAAGAGCTTCGCTTACTAGTGTCTAAATATAAGATGTGGCTTTGATGAGCCTTAAAACTGTGCTTCTAAATAAAGCAACATGAACTGATGATCAAGTAACACAGACTACCATCTGTTATTACTTTTAATCTCCATTTTTGTATCCATAAAGTTCAAAAGAGTAAGAGAAATATTGAATTCTTTGCTAAATGAAAGCAACTTTTATCAAATCAACCATAGATATAGACAAAAATCCGGAAAATCTAAGACATCATTATCCAGGTAGCACTTATTGAAAAAGAACAAAAAGGGTTATTTGCCTTATATCAGGGACAATACACAATCTGATATAAGCTCAAAGTATATATTGTCTTAATTTGAAAAAAACAAAGTAACTAGAAAGAAAATTGAAAGTATAATGCTACAAACAGCAACCAAAATCAGACATGTTATAAACTTTAAGATTGCACTGTCTTTTTATCAAGAACAAAATAATAGAAAATATCTTAATAGGCTTATTCTCCATGTATAGTGCATAAGAAGGAGAAAAGAATAAAATTATATTGTCTAGATATGTTAGATTTTGATATTAATAAAATTACAGTACAGTGTCTTAATAGATTTGATTATGAAAGTATAATGTTGTAATAAAATTACAGTGTTTTTGATAGAAGGTTATATACCTTTGCATCTACATAGTATTCAGTTGCAACATACAAACTTATGAGGCCAATATGGAAATGATTTTTTATTGTTCCCTTATTAGACATTTTACATGTATATTAAGTAATCAGCAAAGTACAGTTTGGTAATATTACCTTGTCTGTAACACCTCCCATAACCTTAATGTTTTATCGTATTCAAATACCCTGAAACCACATGATGATTTTTAATTAGTATTTTAGTTAGTGAGGGTAGAAGAGTAAATTTACTTGCCTTTCGAGTTGGATCAGAATCCAACAGAAACAGAAAGCAGTTGTTTTGTTTGAAGTAGTTGTGTAATGGGCTGTTGTGAAATGGAATCACGGATTCTGGCAGAGTTGGAATTCGAGATTCCATTTCTTGATGTGTTTGGTTGATAATTTGGATGGAATACACTTCTGTTGGATTTCTTAAAATTCCATGTTTGATAATAACAGCTAGGAACTGGAATTGGAATTCCAGATTCCAATGAATGGTGCCTTTGGTTGAAAATTCCTTGGTATTTCATATTTGATGAACTTCAACCATTTATAAGGGCAGGTGGAAGGAATGCCAGTTTCATTCCTCCCTCTTTACTAAATGACCAAAATACCCTTGTTATATATTGAGATAGAGGTAGGACATTTGATAGCACAAAGAGTTGAGAGTGCATGCCTTTTTTATCACAGTTGAAATTTGGACCTAATGATTCCAACTAGATGGCGCTGCTTCAATTTTTTTTTGTTCTTTCTTTGATGAATAATTAAGTAACTGAAATACATAAATAAATTATTGTCCGGAAATAATTATATAAGCTGCAAGACATCCCACCAACCTCGTATCTATAACAAAAAAAAGTTAAAAATCATTTCTAATATATAATTATAGGAATGTACAATGCTATTTTTGGTATTTGATGATAAGAAAATCAAGATCACCGTGTCATTATCGTGAGTTTTAGTATATACAACTTGATTTTGCTCATGATTGTGAGACAGATGAGGGTTTGCTGAATCACTTCCGAAACCTATTTGAAAAAAAAAATATATTAATGAATATTTTATAAAAATGAATTATAGAAATAAAAAAATTTAGTACTAAACTGAAGAACCATCCTTGGTGTACCAATGGATTTTCTGAGCTGGACTACATCCTCTGTTATAATAACAACTGTCATTCCCAAAAATATTTAACTTTAAAAATGTGACTTTTCTTATAATTTTTTTTAAAGCGTAAATGATTCAGAGAAAGAAACATAAACTACTTCCGCTGACATCAAGTCTTAGGATCCGCTTATCTCAGTTGAACTCACCTCATATCAATTATAACATATCCCCAGTCTTGTAAATCACCACATACACCTAAAAGTCGAAATAATAATAATAATAATAAATTAATAAGCGCAACTAATTTCAATAATTGAGACCCGCCTAATTACTTAACTTTTATAACACCACATCCTTCACTTTTTAGGCTTTTACTTTTGAATCTATTATTTGATAAAATAAAAAAAAATCAAATAGCAGGTAGCATGTAAATCTTGTCACACAGAATGACAGAAACTAAGCAACATTAGCTATCAGGAATGATATGCTTACCCAAAAGAAGACAAAATATAAGCAGTAGTTGCCTCACACATGAGTAGAGTATAAGCAGATTGGAAGAGTCGAAACAAGACATGATAATGATGAAAAGTGTTTGCCATATTGGTCGCTTGTCCATGCAAAAAATGCATCATTATCTGAGAACTTTTGATCCAGGGCAGATTAGTAATCAGGTTTATGTTGGATTAAATGCAAGAAATAACAATATGCTTTTTTTTACTTGAAGCATATTACTTCAATGTCGGGCACTTTCTCCTGAAAATGAACTGTCAAATCCCATTCATTGAATCCGTCACTAAAAATTAGAATGATAATATTATAATTAATGTCAAAAAAAATACATATTTCAATAGTGGTATAGACCTTAACTTGCTTGTGGTTATGGAGTTGAATATCCACCACCTCTTTAAGGTAAAAAAATGATTATGTTGTCTTCCTTGATCTTCAAACAAAGATTGTGGGATTTCAACTTGAATCATCTGGACACAAGTTTCAATAAATTATTTTGATGAAACAAAAAAGAAAAAAAAAAGGAAAAACCTAAATTACAACTTTAGTCCCTGTGGTTTGTCAAAAGGTACAATTTTCATCTAGATGTTTCATTTGTTGCACAAGCGGTATCTAAACTCTAAAGCGATTCTTAATTGCATAATTTCACAGAACATCCACTAAATCCATCGAATTTAACCCCTGTCTAAATACCTTAATTCGAAGCCGATCAGATATTGATTGCATTATCTGTTGATTGATCTTTAGCTGTTTGCTCAAGTTCCACAAACCTCTCCAACAATGACTTCCTAACCAAAAAAACATAAGTAAACAACATTTAGTCAAAAGCACAAATAAAACTGTGTAGAAAGTCAAAACATGATTAATAGACAAAGTTTATAACCGGTGCATCCAGTAAGAAGCTTATCAGCAATGGAGTTATTCATCTCTGGTAATTCTCAATTTACATTCAACCTTACTGAAACATTTGCAAGAAAATTAATATTTGTGTAGATTATTAACAGAATTTGTAAGAGGAGGGGGCTTACTGTAAAATGACAAGGAAGGCCACGTAGATCTTGTTGTTTCCATGAATCTGGAAATGTAAGTGAGAAAGATTTTGTTTCATCTCCTTGAATTCCAATTATGGCATCAAGAAAACCAGGATTAACTCTATCTCCATCTTCTGTATCAAATTGGAAACCTGCAAATCCAACCAAATACCTTTACTCTCTGCAGCTGGAACATTTTTCACTTCTGATCCTTCTTGTTCCACGGAAAGTAAACATACTTTACTACTTTTGAAGGTTAGGGCTGAACCCGCATTGTCTGATGTACACATCGCTTCAATAATCTCCATGTGATTTTAAACTGAAATAAAGAGACAAAAAAAAAAGAAGGTATCTGGTTAAAGAATGTATCATCACCAAACATGTATATACATTTTCAAATTCTAAATTTGGAAAACCGAAGCATGTGGAAGGTTTGAGAGCCTGGCCATTTGGGTATTCGATAGCATTGCTGCACAAAATTAATGTGTTCAGAACATGGTGTGTATGGTGCATTTTGACCTGTGTTAGAAATACCTGATAAAGTTGGTGAGAATTAATCTATCAAATCCGTAGGACATCACCAATAATCTTAAATTGTTTAACAAATGTTAATATAAATGTTTCTCTTTTTTGTAGGAAATTGTACCAATATTATAGACTAAACCTCCAATGGGACATCATATGCTACGTGTCCTTCCAAAATCAACATCTTTTTCAATGATGCAGCTGCAGTTTGAAGAACATGCTTGATTACTTCTCTAGGCCTAAATTTTGTAGCCTCCAGCTTCATAACTCGTGAAAATAATCTTAACTTTTAAATGCTACACAGTATAAAAATGGGGTTTGAACATTAGTCTATTAAAAAAATAGCAATTATAAAGGGATGAAAAATAACCTGACCCGACTTTGGAAAGGTGAAGAATGGCATTTATAAGTTGAAGAACTTCTCTTTTGAAGTCTTGAGATTCCTTTACAGCGCCACCTTTGAATACTTCTACATCTGTTTTCCCAATTATATCCTGTGCGTAGTATTAGGGAAAAAAAAAAAGACATGGTTCAAAAATATTCTATTAACTCGCAACAAATATTACCTTTGAATACTTCTACATCTGTTTTCCCAATTATCTACCATTGGTCTAAGCGGAGGTGAAGCAGCAGAGCCAAGAAGAAAGGAGAGGAGGGTAGGCGGTGGAGAAGATAAACCTGATGACCCCATTTTGAAGCCGGTCTGAATAAAAAAAATATAATAAAGAAACAAAACACCAGAAAGCTTAAGTATCATTTTTCATGATGAATAACAATGGAGAGAGATCACTCATGCTCTGTGAGAAAAAAAAAAATTGTTTATTTCAATTATTAGCAAAACATTATTTTTATAATAATAAAAAAAAACATAAATAAATTAACAATCAAATTTAATATTGTTTGCAAGGTTCATCCCTGGTACTGACGGCGTTAAAGTAAAATGACTCTTTTTGCCCTTATCTTCATCTTCTCAATCTCCTTCATCTTAAATCATAAAAATCAAACCAAATTCAATCAACAACCAAAAATTAAAGAAAAATCAACATCCAAAAGTATAAAATAAAAATAATTCTAACCTAACAATCTTTTTAGTTTATTATTCATGGTTTTTTTTTAAGTTGTTGGTACCTTGGATCTTAATTTTGTTTTAGTTTTAGCTTAATTTTTAAAGTTGAGGAATTTTAGGTCTACAGGATGAAGGATAAAAAGAGAGGGACAAAATAGTAATATTTCACTTGGACTTCACGAACATTTTGCAACACCAACAGTACCACCAGGGAGAAAACTTTCAACAATACTACACTTTATTGACCCCTTGTGCAACAAATGAAATATCATAAGGACGAAATTGTAATTTACTCTATAAATAATAATAGTGGCATGTTACCTGACTATAACCGAGATCAAAGCTGTAGAATGAGTAAGTCAACAGTGAGCTGTCAGTTCTTTACCTTAAAACAAAAATAAAATACTTAAATAAAAAAAAAACACATTTTAAATAATTTGAAATGGATGGTTATTTTCATACCACATCTTTCTCAATCAAACCCTTCCTTCCTCTAATTTTTGTAAGCCTTTTATACTCTGCAACATGAAAGTGCAATAAATATAATATTTGGGTGATAGAACTTGAAGGGCAAAACAGTCATTTACCTGCTATTGGTTTTTGATGGTCATGTACTCTGATGTTTTAACTGAGACAACATACTGTTGAATGGTATGAATAAGATCCCACTAAGAATGCATAAACCTGGAATTACATGTCATGAACAGATCTACTTAAAATTAGCCAAAAGGGTGGAAGTGTAAATTTCACCAAAATATAAAAACCTCTTTTTGCCCCTATAGGATATTCTCTGTTTTAAAGCATCTGGATCCATGACTCAGCCTTCATAATCCAAAAAGCTTGAAAAACCACTGTATAACATAAAATTAGCCAAAAGTTAGACCTTTCATATATGGGCCCCATCCCAGCATCTATTTATTTCATTACAAAAAGCACTTTCAATGTCCTCAAATTTGTTAAATTGGACTATTCTGGTCTCAATTGGGCAACTTGCTAAATTTCATTCTCTACTCATCTCACAAAAATCATAAACATGGGCAGTATCAGAACAAATTAATGAGCGAACTAATTGGCATTTAATTACACATCTGATCCGATGGATATAATAACATAACTTCAAGAATAAAAATGAATAACAAATAGGAACCCTTGGCAACATCATCAGGTTTTGGTTGATGAAAAGGGTGATGGTTGTTAGCTCCCTATAAAGCACCAATTCATATGGAAAATTATATCAGTAATCTGATGGCAGAAAGGTGTTCAAAAAGGTTAGACTTTGAAAATACAATGCTACTACAACTTGGAGGATAATGCTTGCAATGAACTATTGTTACAGAACCACTAATATTCGATAATGAAAATTGTTACTAATGGTAAAACAAAATTATATATTAAAGTACTAAGATATCCATACTTTCTTGTACAGATCACCAGAAAGAATTGAAGATTACCTCATCAGAGATAAGAAAGTGAACACAAGCACCTTCTTTATGTTGACCACTTGTTTTTAGCATTTCAACCCACCAAAGACCACACCTTGTGGCATTTCCTTCTAAAGATGATAAATAAGCACAAGTTTTAGGAACAGAGGGGTATTTCTGGAAATACACAAACATGGTCATAGGCTCATATAATCTTTTGTAATCTTTTGTAGCATGACTTTAAAATAAAGAATCTTCTTATCAGTGCAACTGATAAGAAAATGATTAACCATCATGACAAAAAGCTCAGCAACTGAAATGTCAAAGTCATTAGCAACTAATCACAATTTTAACCATTTAAAAATATCAACTGGGGAAACTTACAATATGTATTGTCTGTGGTACACAAAATATGGCTTGTGAAGAAGCTGCAAGGGCAAATAAATAAATAATTTTAAAATGATAAAATTTAAACTTTTAGAACTATGTGCAACTTTCACTAGGTATAATTAGCTGAAAAACATACAGATGGCTATATGAATCGGTAATAACCTGTTTCAACCACTCATTTGTCACCTGCTTCAAGATAAAAAAAAAACAAAAAAAAAAAAAACATTTCTTAGAAACATCTAAAACTACAAGGGTAAACCTTTTGATAAATACAACTCCTGGTAAAAAAAAAAAAAAGTACACGAATGCCATGATCGAACCTTTTTGATTCATGCTAAATACAAAACTGGCTTTTTTTTTGTATCATCTACACATCACACAATGAGATTTAGAAACAGAGAATATTACACATATACAAAAACATTTTAACCTAACAAAGACTTTGTGTTCTTTATTCTTGGAATCTCAGAAATAATGACATAAACAGGCCCACAAAGAAATCACAACACCTCTTGGAAATATCCTCATTTGATTAATATTCAAGATACACTTCTATTTCTTATTGAATTAAAAATACAAATAATAAATTATCTTTCCCTAACTGAATCTTTAATGGCTCAATAAGTTGTTTAATATTTTAATTTGGCTTGTGATTTTACTTTTGTCTTCACAATTCAACCTAATAACATTTTCACCCTCAAAAAAAAGCAAAACAACTTTTTAACTTAATTAAGACATTTCATCAAACACCTAAAGTGCATGGTAGAAAGATCTAAAACTAAACAATACTTTTTGGGGTTTCAAAAATATTAAAATTTTACCGACATCGCCACTTGCTGGACCAATCATCTTTGTTTAATGGATGCTTTCGATTACAAAAAGAAACCCAGGAGGTTGTAGCGTTAATTAAGGCTGCAATTAAGTAAAATCATGTCATTAATTTACCTTTTAGTGACGATGACGCAATTCTTAGAAAGGAAAAAAAAAAATAGAAATCAGATGAGAAAGATATGTACTCTTTTTCTTGATCGATGATGACGATGAACCAAACTGATATCGGAACCTACTTCATACAACTGTAAAGCATAAAGGAACAACCCAGTAGCCCGATGAATCCAGAGATGAAGAGAGGGCTGAAGAATCTTGGCCTGATTGAAAATACCTAACAGAAACAACAACGTAATCAATAATTGCAAAAACAAAAGCAATAATACACACACAAGAGAGGAAGAGGGAAACGCAGAGGATTGTTGAACGCCGGAGAATGAAAGAAAGATGAAACAATGGTGTCGACAGAAGAAAAAGAGAAGGTGGTGCTTGAAAATAAAACCCTGTATTATTCTTCTTCTTGAAAGCTGTTTGGAGGGCAGCGGGAAGAGTGAAGAAGGGCTATATAAAGCGCCAATATGAATACATCGATCCAACCTTTTGACTTCCCACTTCCAACGGTTCTTTTTAAATCCTTTCCAAAATTAACACTTTCCCAAAATTACAATACTAACATTTCCACTCATTTTAACGCACATGACCCTTAATTTTTGACTTTTATCTTTTTAGCTTTGATTTTTATCTTTTATTATGAAATTGGTTCCTTACTAGTCTAAACTTATTTTTTTACAACTTTCTTTTTATATATTTTTTTAAAACATAGATTTTTTATAGAAACTTATTTTGTCACGACTTTCTTTTATATGAAATCATTTAGTTTTTTTACAAATATTTTTTTATTTGTGTATTATGTGTGCTTTTTAAGATTTCTTTGTTTTAATAAATTATATTTTTTTAATTCATTTTCTATATTTCACAAACTAAAAAAAAAATTTCAATTTCTTTTATATCTTTGTTTTTTATCAAATCATTTTTTAAAAAAAAAAAGTAGTATTCTTTAGAAAATTAATTTTTTTACTAAGATTTTTATTTTCGTTTTTATGCATGTATTTTAAGATTTCTCCGTATCTAAAAATTACTTTTTCTAGAAGTTAATTTCTTATTTTTGACATATTTGTTTTCATGCATCTATAGTGTAATAGTTATGCTGTTTCCTACATATTCGTTTTTTAAAAGTCAAAATCGTATCTTAAGGAGTGCACTTTTATGTTACAACTAAAAGTAATCATATCTTGTGTGCCTTTAGGTTCAGTCTCCGTATTACTGAGTTAAATGGCTCATTCTATAAATGAACAACCTGGAAACATGAAACAGTCAAAAGTTCGTAAGCTAATTGTCTGGGAGAAGATCTCGGGACAACGGTCCGATGGTAAAGTTAGTGAAGATCGAGAGAATCTTATTGTGAACGGTTTTAGTCGAGATGAGTGAGTGGTTTCTAGCGTACTAACTATGGGTGGATCGGATTACCTATTTATAGCCGAAGTAGAAACATCCTGATCTTCCTATGTGCTGAACTGATGTACTGTCTTATTGCCATTTATGGTCGTACACCCGAAGGTACAAGAAGAAAGGCTTGAAAATCATTATACAGTTGTTCCTTGTAAGTATAAGGTTCCATCAATCACCTTTATGCATACATCATATACTTCTTCGAGTTCCCATGTCCTTGATACACTGTGGTGACATCAAAACGTACTTTGTTCCTTCTTTCATGTAGTTCGGAATTTTAGGTATAGTTCGGTGCCTGGACGTGGTTCGACATTTCCACTTGGTTCAGTGGTATTTGTAGTTCGGTCTTCTCGAGGGTGTAGACGTAGTGGTTAACCTATACCTTATTAATACCGTAAAAAGCATAAATTACATCTTGCTTGTTGTATATACTATATTTACCGTAACATATATTTTCTCATATCAGATTTCCTTTGTTTTATAAATTTGGACATATTTCAATAGCAATTTCAAACCAAAGGGGTTGTGTGAATTGTTTCAAAGTAGCTTTTACCTTTTACGCACACACAAAATTCTCTGCGATACTACTACTAGGGGTGTGCACGGTGCGGTTTAAAGTCAAAACAGCAAATCGCACCGCATATGCGGTTTAAGTTTTTTTGAAACCGCAAACCACACCGCAGAAATTCAAAACTGTGTTATGCGGTGCGATTTGATGCGGGCGGTATGTGCAGTTTTGCGGTTTGATGAGTTACTACATTTTATAACTATTGAAAAATCTAAAAAACCTTTTGATCTTTTGAGATATAAAACTATAAGTTAGAAATGTTTTGCAAAAAAACTCAAAAACAAGTTGCTTTCTGTAATACGTTTGTTAATTAATTCCTATTGTATGACTATATTCACTAATTTTAGGCTCTTAATCAATTGACCAACTCATTCTAACTTTATAGAAACCGTCTTAAAGCCAAATATATCACAAAGATCGATGCTTTTCAGTTATGAATGCCCAATGAAAAGTCTATAGCTCAAACTTAGGTCAAAATAGGAAGAAAAGCACCAAAATCTCATGCATGCAGTCTAATCCACGATCAAACTTCAGATCTAAGACTTTTATTTATCAAAGAGCCTCAATGATCCATACAGTTGCTAACTTTATGGATTCCATGCGTTCAAAACAATCCATACATGGAGAAAAGTGGGTAAAAACCTAGACCTAGCATGCTTAATTAAGAAAGGAAATAACTTGAGGGGTTACAAAGATCCATAAACAACACAAGTTGTGAGGATGAGGCTTGCTTGCTGAAACAATGCACCAA